ACACACACACACACACATTCTGAAAGCGTTGCCTGGCTACAGACACACACAGAGCGCTGTTAAAGTAGACGCTACCACTCTTTTCTAATAACACCCTTTTATCATACACGCACGCTTGCACACGAGCAGGTATGCACGCACACCCGAGGCCATGCGCGCAGACACAATGCCATTCACGGTGGGCACAACAGAAATGTCAGAAAAGCATTTAAGGGTGGCAGCGTTTCACAATTCACTTCAGCAGCTCCTAAAGTGATAAAAAAAAGAGAAAGGCAAGCAGCCACTTCTAAAACCACAGAGCTTCATTACAATCAACAATACAAGTACATCAGTGCCAATATGTTTTTATACCACATTTATAACAATTATCAAATAACGCCTAGAAATCTTCTTAGAACATAGGAAGAGAAAGAAGGAAGGAGGAGAGAAAACTAAAATGTTGGATTCCCGGAATGCTGCTTGCAACCGGAAGCTGAGTGAAGAATATACTGCACGGGGTACAAATAAAGAGCAACCACTGAGAATGATGTGAAGCAACTGCAGAAATCAGAGGCACCAGAGGGTGCACAGACATGTTGAGGTCAGGACCTTAAGTGAGCTTAGTTAATGGGACAGGGGCAGATTTGACGAAACTTTACCTGTGAAGCCCATGAGAGCACCCTCTCTGGCCTGTCGCCTCAGCCCCTCCACATCTTTGTAGTCAATGTAGACGAGGTCGATGGCCTGCAGCCCAAACGCTTTGGTGGTCACAACCACCTTCTGCCTCGCGTAAAGGAGCTCCCTGGCATCTTTCGTCCGCGTGGCACCTAGAGAAGAAAATATGGGGGCACACTCGCACATCATGTAGGTCACGTGCCAGTTAAGATCTCAGAGGGAGGCAGGCGGATAAGCAAGGAAATACGAGGTTGAAGAGGAGGTGGGATGGGGAGGGTGATGAACAGACAAATTAAGTAGTGACAGAAGCCAGGACAGCAATTACACTGATATGCAGCATGTCAGTCTGAGAGTGTTTCATATCAAACTCAAAATATCACAGTCAAAATCTGGCATTTGAGTATTACTTCTCAGCCTAGCAAATCTTCCTGGTCGTCAGTTAAAATGTCTCCTGATAAATCCAGTTTGGTGTATGTCATAATAAAAATAAAGTACTTGTTTCTAAGTGGCTTCATGAAATTCATGTCAGGACATATCAAAATAGAGAGTGAATCAGCAGTTCAACCACCGTTCTTTGCGTCTCTTCTTTGAAAACAGACGGACTATAAACTAACATTAGAAATAGATAATGATTTAAACACATCCTCCCTTTGTACTTGTGGTTAAGTGGTCACAGGCTGCATGTAATCATACACTCTGAGGTGTCCTAATGTGGAAACTAATGGACTTGGTAGAGGAAATGCATCTGCACTTCCATCTCATTCATTATTTTTGTATATCAGGACACCTC